GAATTTGTTAACTGATAGAATGAGAAGAAATGTTTTAAAATTTTTAAACATTGTTTTTAAGTGTTAAAGAGCAACCTCTTGTCTTTGTGCCTTTTCAACCCATTTCACTCTCATCCTGGGAAGCAGTCTGGGTCCATTTAGGAGATAGAAACCACACAGTACGTTAAACCGAAGAAGTTTAACGCGAAGAATTGTTAATGACGATAGAAGGGTAACTGTAAGCTACCAGGAAACTCTATATGGCACCATAGGGCTGAGGGAGAGTACACGAGGAAGCAGAAACTTGGAAGGCGTTTAGACCTCGTTGGAGAAGGTTGGTTCAGCCCACTAGATAGCAGAGAAGCTTGCTGATTTGGCGAGGCTGGAGCTGGTCTGGACATGCTGGGCAAGCAGTATGCCATTCTCCAGAGTTCAGGAGGGGAGCAGGTAGTCAGCAAGCAGGGCTCTGGGCATGCAGTGGGAGTCTGCACCAGCTGGGACAGAAGGCTTGCAGAAGGAGGGATGCTTGGTGTGTGACCCTCTGGGCTGCAGGTGGCTGTGTGTGTAGGCCACAGTGGGGGATTTTGGTCTCCATGTTGAAAGGGCTGCAGAAAGGTTACTGCCAGGCCGAGGCTGCAAGGCCGCAGAAGGGTCACATTCTGGGCCTGTGGCTGGAGCAGGCTCCACCAGATGCCCTCACACTCACTGTGCTGACGTACTGGAAAACTTCACAGATAGCCTCTTCCTCCTTCAGTGTGCCTCTAGCGCCCTCTACTGAGAAAGCTTAACATCATGCTCACTTTAAGCAGAAACAACCAGATATTGAAGAATGCATTTGGAGCCAAGAGGCGATCAGTCAATAACTAACACATCTTCCATCTCCAGAGCTTCCTTCATTCATTTGGTCCCAAGGACCTACAGAACCACAAGAGTGTGGTTGTGTTTGAGGCACTATCAGGGTCAGCAGCGTCTGAAGAGCCAGGAAAGGCTAACGAGGTATGACCTCAGGCAAATCACTTCCTTCTAGGGGCACTTTTTCATCATCTTTTAATGAGGAGTGGGACTGGATCAGGGCTTTCCAAATACCAGGCTACAGTGAGGTAAGAGAAAGGAATATAGTATTCCAAAGAGCTAAATCTATTCAATTTAAAAGTTGACCCTTTCAACTTTTTTAGTGTTAAAGCAACCTTTTTTGTTTATTTAATGACATTATGCTGATAATAAATGGTAATTGTTTTTGATCTTTACTTAGCAAGATAAAAGTCAGCCACCTCAGAATTTTGTTTTTGAAATTTTATTAGTCTGTGGAAGCGGAAAGTCTGGCCACTCTGGGACTAGCTGTTCCTGAAGTCCTCTTTCCTCTCTTGAGATGGGTGGTTCTAAAGGGCCTGTTGGTCTTTGATTACCAACTTCTGACCCCCTGGATCTACGGCAGGCAGAGGAAAACCTAGGAAAGGTGTTCACTTCAGCAGCCTGTGTAGTAAATTTGGGTTGATCACAGATTAGCATAGCTCCTGCACAATGGTGACACATAAAAGTGTGAGGTGTTGCTAATCTTTAAGTTATTTTGTAAACCTGAGGGCAACCGCTAAAAATTTTTAAACAAAGGTATAACTAATAAGCCAATAAACCAAATCAAACCACTGCCATTGAGCTGATTCCAACTCATAGCATCCATATAGGACAGAGTAGAACTGCCCCATAAGGTTTCCAATGCTGTCAATCTTTATGGAAGCAGACGGCCACATCTTTCTTCTGGGGAGTGGCTGGTGGGTTCAAACCACTGAACGTTAACCACTGCGCCACCAGGGCTTCTCAATAAGCCAACAGTGGAGATATAATGGATCATTAAAAATACTCAATGAATCCAAAAGCAGACAGAAATGTAGAAAAGAGTGGAAAAATTATTTGACACCTGTATCTTGCTTAGCATAACGGCCCACTCTTAGTGGCAGCATCTGGAGCCAATGCTTTATCAAAACACAAGATATTTTAGTTCGAAGCAGTGACTGAGTGATTTATATTTCTTTGAAAGCACCACAGAACCCCCGAAAAATAAAAATGATGAAGCTTGATTAAACTTCAAAGGGAGTCAACCACGTGGCAGGGGCAAGGGGTGCTGTGCTGAGGTGAGGCAACTACTTATTGGCCTTTATATCTTTATCAGCACGCCATTGCTTGCCTGCTACAAAAAAGGTGGCTGGGTACATAACACCATTTAGACCTCCTTACCAAGGGAGGTTACATATAGGGTGCAATTCATGCGAAAACCTCCCTTTTCCTGGCTTTAGTAAAAGTCCCAATCCCGGTAGCGCTTTTTCTCCCTTTTCTTCCCCATTCCTGCAAAGGAGTAAACTATGCACAGTATTTGCACAACAGGGCCAGGCCCTCAGGACAGAATCTATATGAGAATGTCACACAATTATGAGCTTTAAAGCTCCAGCCATCTGAACAGGTCCCCTGCTGACACCTGGGCAGTGGTGCAGAAAGGATGGAGCTGGATTGAATGGAGTGCTCAGTGCACAAGGCACGTTCATGCCCCCAGCGTGTTGACTTGCATAATATAGCTGCTGGGCCACCATTCCACTGTCAGAGACGGGGATTAGGCTGCAGGTGTCTCCAGGTAGCAGTCCGAAAGTAAAAACAAAGATCTGAAACTAGAATTGGATTCTAGATCTTCTCAGGGGAAGCTGCTTAAATGAGGGTTTCTCCCTTTCAGCAACATGCATCACCTCTTCTTCCCTCTTTCCAAACTCCATCTCATTCAAGGGAAAGAAAAAACTGAACAACAGGATCTTTTCAGACAATAAATATATACACGTACATGCTATCTCCACGCCCGCTTTTCTTTTACTATGTACTCTATAGGGTCAGGCATGGGAAATGACTCAGGATTTTTTTCATCAACCATAGGAAAAATAGTACATACTCAAATTGAAAAAAAAAATTTTTTTTTAACAGAAGAATATAAAATAAAAAGTGAAATTCTACCACTACTCGGGAAACCACTATGGAATCTGATATGCATCCATTTGGAACTTTTTCTTTACATACACACATGGATGTATGTATGTTTTGCTTTTTTCACTTTGCTGTAATTTTTTATTCCATTAAAGCAAAAAATTTTTATGGCACACATATAGGTATGTGTATCCTTCAACATTTTTTATGGTAGTGTTTTTTTCTTGCTTCCATTGTTTTTAAATTAATAGACTTTATTTTTTAGAGTAATGGAGGCTTGCGTGTTGCCATGATGCTGGACAGATTTCAGCAAAACTTCTGGATGAAGTCAGACTAGGAAGAAAGGGCTGGTGATCTACTCCCCAAAATCAGCCAGTGAAAACCCTGTGGATCACAACAGTCTGATCCTGTTGTGCATGGGGTTGCCATGAGTCAGGCCCACTCGAAGGCAGCTTAAAAACACAACAGTCTAACTCGCAAAAGGTGGCCTTGGGCAAACTGTCCTCTCCCCCGCCCCCCAAAAAGGCTGAGAATTCCTCAGAAATAGAATAGTTAAATGTATGCCCCCCTCCACTCTGAGATAGAAAGAAAGAAGCAAGTCTCTTAAATGTAATTTAGGAATGAATTGTGCATCTCTACCGGGCAGAAGCATTAAGTCTGGCCCCACTGTTCCCAGAGGGTATCATTAAAACTCAGCATTAATATTGGTCAGCCATAGAGCAATCCTCCCGAGTTGCTGTTCCTGAAAAGATCATTCTCTGATTTAAGCTAACTTTATTTTTTTAAAAAAGGGGGGGGGGCAGGGGGCAGGAGAGACTTAGGTATGTTCGTTGGAATGGCCTTCCCATCTCATGACTGTGGGTCACAATGACCACCTGACTAGTACCTGGACATAGCTGACAGAATACAAGGGCGCTGCTAAAAGCCCCTTTTCATAATTATCACCTTCTCCGTCTGCACAGACAGAAATTAAGAACCACAAGCCAGTATTTCTTTCCCTATCTGACCCTCGTCCCCTATACATTCCCTTCTCTTGGAAGCAAATCCGTGAGATACTGAGGGCAGACTACTAAGGCTGTGAGGAAAGCGTCCTCAACTGTATTAATTTTACCTTTATTCCAAGGATCCTGATTTCTGAGGATCCTCTCCAGCAGTGAACTCCTTAAGGCATGTGACACACTTTAAGTGTACCAGAACTGTTAGAGGAGCGGAAAACACCACCTTGTGATATGAAATGTCCATGACATATATTAACTTGATGAAATTAATACCATTTAATTTTTTTTTTTCTGAACATGTTAGCTTTTTATCATTAAGCCTAGATAACTTAGACAAGTAAATTTCATAGTTTCGTGTAAAATTCTTCAGTCTTCAGATCCAAATACATCACTGGCTCATCAAGTTCAATAAGAAATTTTTACATGCTTATAGGCCTAGAGCCAAGTTTTGCTATCAGTAATTTAAATAAAAATTTAAAATACAACCTGCCATTCAACTTAATCCGCTTACTAATTTTCATTGACTTCTAGGTAGAAAAAAGACAAATATAGAAAGCAAAAAGTCCCAGTCTAGTTTAAAAATGAAAATTTAAGAAATCTGAATGAGTCTTGCCAACAATCTGGAGAATCAGTCTGTTTAGCAAGTGGTGTATGTAAACAAAGACACCACTAAAATACAACTTGGTATAACAGGCATTACCTATTTAATAAGTACAATATATACATAGAATTCTCTTGAAAAGCTTCACTTTATACAGAAACATATTTACAAAATGAACAGTGTAATCAAACTAAAGATTATCTGTACAATGCACATATGTATATGAACTTGGGAAGATAAACAAGTTTCATCACCAGAGTCAAAATGGACAGCCATATGCATCTTTTTAAAAAGAATTTCATTCCAGAAGAAAAATACATCTTTAATATACAATTGTGTCTCATTAAAATTTTCCTGACAATTCTTCATATTTGGATTCTTTTTCAATTATTTCTCTTGTTCAGCCCTGACAAATTTCAGGTTTCTAGTGCCACCAACTGATATGTTAAAAACTAACAATCTTAGGGTCAAAAAAAAATTGTTTTGTTTAAAAAAAAAAAGGTTATTGAAAAATATACTGGAGTCAACATTCATTAGGCAAAATTCAGCATACTGCATGATAACATGATTTATATAAAAAATATCAGGGTGGCATATATAACATTTACAGTATCAATGGTTTCTGATTTTTTTTCTCCTACTGGTAAGTCTTGGTCTAAATTTACAGGTAAAAATCTTTAGAAAATAATATGCTTCAAAACCAAGTTTAGAAACATGCACGACAACAGGATTAGACTCGTCTTCATAAGCATCGAAAGTGGCAATAATTTACTAAAATGGCAAAAATCAAATGTCATTTTATGGTCTTTGGATTTTTTTCCTTAAAGAGTAAACATCAAACTGACAAAAGTTAGGAAATGTGAAGAACCACAATGAAAACAGCAGTCAGCTCTCAGAGCATCATGCCCAAGTGGGATTTCTGGGTCATCAGCTTGCACAAGTGGGTTAACCCTCTTTCCAGCCCGGTTACAAGAGGCTGGCTGTGAGCTGCAGAGGCCTGAAGACCTGATCCTATTGCCCTGCAACTATTTTAACTAGACCATAAGCTCCATGAGGGCAGAGACTCCCCTGTCTGATCTATTCACCAATATAATAACACTGTATGGTACCTGGCAATAGTAGGTGTTCAATAAATGAATAAATAATGTGGTAGCCTGATAAAATTTAATTTCAAGCCAATTTTGATTGGAAAGACTTCTACAGAGGCAAGTTTTTGAAGCTATTTAATGGATTTTATTAATTGGTTAATAGCTAAAAATGAGACACGTTGGTCTGAAAGATATTATGCATTTAGAATATTCAAAGCTGAATGATCCTGTAAATGAACTGATATTCCAAACTGCATATAATTAGGGATCAGAAATTATCATAAAATCGCTTTAAATTGTTATGAAGACAAAAAGTTAAAAAAAAAAAAAAAAGTTCAAACTCATTCCAAATGCACCGTTTCAAATCCTTAAAACTTAGCAGGCTAAAGTTGGAAGTGGTATGGGAAAAAAGGTAGTCACAGTTAAGTGTCCACTTTAAAACCTAGTGGAGTGTACACATATACACAAAAAATAAATCATTTCCTGCCCAAAGAAGCCAAAATATTGCTACCTAACCAACATAGTCTTTGATGTGTACTAAAGAAAACAGTGAACATATAAAATAAACACCCCCCATGTCTCGGGTTTATCCAGACCATTTTCCTTTCCCAGATATTCCATTCATCTCTTCATATACTCAGTATAGTAGGAGGTAGAAGGCACTCTAAATCCTTGTATCAGGAGCTGCTTGTAAATTGGTATAAATATCACTGATACATACACATTCCTTCCCATACATACATATTCCTTCCTGATTAATCCATATACAAACCGATACAGTAGATACAGAAGAACAAAAAAACCCATTGCTGTCGAGTCGATTCCAACTCATAGCGACCCCATAGGACAGAGGAGAACAGCCCCATAGGGTTGGTTGTTTTTGAACCACCAACCTTTTGTTTAGCAGCTGTATGTCTTACCTACTGCACTACCAGCACTCCAGAAGAACAAAAGGAAAATAAAATAGTTTCTTATATTTATGGGAGAAAAGTAACAATACAGCCAAATATGGTTTAAAATGGCTTCTAAAATTGTACTGCCTTCTACTTCTCTAAGTGGATGGTGGCAAAAATGTTAATACTGGAATGTTTTATTTTTGTCTATTATGTATGTATTTTTTAAAATGTACAGACAAAGGACACTATGGATCTGACCACTATCTGGTATCCATTATATATGTGTCTTGGAGAAAACACAAATATTATGGATCCATATCACGCAAGAAGCCAGAGAAAGTAGTTACGGTGGCTGCTCTAAGTAGGCTTTCGGAGTGTCAACCGTGTGCCTAGAAACAAAGAGAAAATAATTCACATTTGATTGCACTCACCCTCTTTTCTTCATTTTGATAAGTTATTATTGGTTTAAAAAAAAAAAAAAGCAAGCCAGATTATGTTAAGACTAATACTTTTCAACTATTTAAAAAATAAAACTGCTTTGAACTTCTATTTTCATTCTGAAGTGAAAAAAATGATTTGTTTTGGATGACAAGATACAATTCAATACACAGAAAAAAGAAGACACTAAATCATCATCTAATCCTTAGTAAATATGTTATCTTTTAAAATAATGTTGATTAAAACAATGCTAAAACACATTAAAGGACTATCACCACCATAAGCCCAACTTTTAGAGTACAAGTAATTCTGTGAAGTCTAAAATCTGTCACCCCAAAGTTTACTTCTCTGAAGGGGACGAAAAATACAAAAACCCCAAGCAAAAGTGAGGATTGCTGTAACATCTGCACATAGGCAAAGGTGTCCTATTATAGAAATGAGCTGAAAATAACAAAATGTGAAAAACCACACACAGAAATCCCGGTGGGTGAGAGATTACAAGAAGTGAACCAAATGGAACACCAGAAATATTGATACTATGTCTGGCAACATGTAAGTGCGCATCTTAAATGAATATTGTAAAAATGTAACAGGATACATAAATTTGGCTCTAAAATTCCTTTAGTTACAGAGATTTAAGTATTCTGTGTTTTAAATAAAAATACCAGACCATAATCATTATCTCAGGAATTGTATAATAACTGCTCTCTAATATGTAATTATATCAATAGTAAAGAATGGTGTTCAAATGAAACGGTTAACAGTCTCATACATGTTGGTTTCTTTTGGGAACTGGCTCTTTATAGACATCTTAAACATGATTATTATTTATCTTTACAGTTTATTTCAGTTTCAAAGAGTTCACTATTCATCTCTGTTCTAATGATTGGATCTATTTCCCATTTTAAAATATAACCAAAGTCCACGGGAATTTTCTAAATGAACATGTTATGTAAAATCATATTTTATGTAACTAAAGATTTTAAAAATTCAACTATTAACTAAACAATCCAAATCTGAAAACAATGTTTTAAACTATGAATCAGAAATATTAAAAAGAGCATACCTAACACAGTACCTGGCAGAGGCACAGCGCTGCTGGATCATGGCTAGTTACCTAGCTTTCCTATTAAGTTTAGCTTCCATTCAAATTAAACAAAAAAATTAAAATTAAAACAAAAATTTAAGCACTAATATGATCCCTGAAACACAACCAAATGTTATAACTGGAATTTCAGAACATGAACATTTTCATCATTTGTTTTCTTGACGCTGGAAAAGTAGCATATTGGGGAATGATCAACACCTCCCTTTTCATGCATAATTTTAAAAAGCTGAATCATTTTGACATTATGTATTTTAAAGAGAAGAAATATGGAGTAGGGGTTTTTTAACGCCCTTGTTCAGCACTTCATATGATCCTAGCAAATTAAATTACTTTGATTTAATAACAGGCTCTTGTATTATACCAGACAAAAACAAATTTCATCAAAGCTTACACTCTTACAGTATACACGGCAATGCATTCATATTGTAAAAGGCTACTTTTTGTGCAGATGAAGCAAAACAATTTTTACTGGCTGACACACAAAGCAGGAAAGTTTCCAACAAAACTGGTCAGCGGCCCCTGCTCCTCATGCAGCTTTTGTCTGTTTACTGAGAAGTGCTTTGTGTTAGGTTCTCCTTTTCCTCTGTTCTAGGTCATGCTGGTGTTTAATAAGACGTTCGATTTCTGTTCCAAGGGTTTGTAGATTTTCCTTTTAAAATTGGAAAAAAAAGGAGGGGGGAGAAAACAGAACTACTAAGTATAATAAATTAAAAAAATTCAGTTTGAAATATTTCTGCCTACAAATTAGAAACTGAAAGAGTTATGATTACTTCTAAATACTGTGTGAGATAAACTAGGCACACAGCTGTTTTCGGTAAAGCAGTCCTGTCCATTTCAAAAGCATACTTAATTTTTTTTTTTTACTGATGCCACAGAAATTTTTAGTCCATAAAATTATTATTTACTATTTTTAAATTATTTTAAAAATCCACTGGTAATTATCAAGGCCCACATAGCAAAATAGTTGGGTCAGATAATACCTGTAAAAAATAAAATGAAACTGGGAAATACGTTAGAGAATAAATGCCTCAACTTAAAAAATTATGTTTCAGCAATTATTTACAACTAGTTATAATATGGAGCCCTGGTGGCACAGTGGTTAAAGAGCCTGGCTGCTAATCAGAAGATTGGCAGTTTGAATCCACCAGCCACTACTTGGAAACCCTATGGGGCGGTTACACTCTGTCTTACAGGGTCGCTATGAGTCAGAATTGACTTGACAGCAATAGGTAACAGGTAGTTATATATAATATATACAACTAGTAATTAAACATGTAATTGCTGAAATATATATAACTAGTTGTAATTAATTGCTGAAACATATTTTTCTAAAATTGAAGCATTTATTGTCTAACGTATTTCCCAGCTTCATTTTATTTTTATTTTTTTGGCACAGTGGTTAAGAGCTCAGCTGCTAACCAAAAGCAGTTCAAATCCACCAGCCACTCCTTGGAAACCCTATGGGGCAATTCTACTCTGTCCTATAGGGTCACTATGAGTCGGAATTGTCTCAATGGCAACAGGTTTTGGTTTGGTGCCCTGGTGGTGCAGTGGTTAAGAACACGGCTGTTAACCAAAAGATCAGCAGTTCAAATCCACCAGCTGCTCCCTGGAAATCCTATGGAGCAGTTCTACTCTGTCCTACAGGGTCACCATGAGTCGGAATTTACTCAATGGCAACAGATTGATTATATGTCAAAGTCCACCCATTGTTAATCTCAGGTTCTTTTTGAAATGAACCTATAACAAAGCAAACAACTCATTTAGTGTCCATCCAATAGTTAAGCTGATTCTTTCTCTATTTCTCCATCTTTTCTCACTAACTCAAAAAATTATACTTTTCAAAAAAAGAAAAGCACTAAAATTTATCTGAATAAAATGGCAACCTTTTATTACCGAAACATTCCACCTGCGTTCTAGATTAGACTATGAAAGAGACGCCATGTTGCCATGTTTATTGTTTGATAAGTGAATAAGAAATCCAGATACCTTCAAAGTAATATTTTTCAGTAATGTATCCTCCAAAACAGCCTGTAATTTTCGGTTGATCTCCAAAGAGAGTTCCAATGTTAATCCACTATCGGCTGGGTGAGACGTATACAAAGAAGCCATGATGCCGCCCCGTCGACTTAAATGGACTTTGTTAAAGTCAGATGCCTCTGAAGAAAGTGTGCCCGATTCTTCCCGTAAGATGTAACTCTGGATTATTCTGCAGAACAAATAACACTATCAATTGTGTACTTGCTCAATTAAACACACTGGAATTTGCAAGAGTTAACTAATTATAAGCATAAAGATCTATATTAGAAAAGAATTTTCCTTATTCAGATGGTTTCTTAAATGATCACATTTTTGTTCTAACAAGGCATTTAAATAAAAAATATATAAACAGTTTCATTTTCTTATTATTTTGATCAAAAGAATTGAGCAATTTATTGCTCAGATTTCAATTAACATTTTGTTTTCCTGTTTTAAACTTAGAACTGCATTTTATTCTTTTTCTTTGAAAACTAATGAGTAAACTTTTCTGTAAGTCTAAAATTATTTCAAAATAAAAATTAAAAAGTCATGGTAAAGACTCACAATATAAAGAAAATGCTTACTTAAGTATGGTATCTGTGAAAGGAAGCTGGCACAACATGGGCTCTGGAGTCAGTCAGGTCTGGGTTTGGATCTCTAGCTCTAGTCTGCCACTTACAGAAGAAGTGGTGACCTGGGAACATTTGGTTACTTGACTTGGGCCCCAGTTAACTTATCTGCAAAACTGGAAAACTCACTCTCTCATGGAACATTTGTAAGAATTCAATGAGATATTGCTAAGCAACAGGCACAGTGCCTTGTGCTTAGCAGATGCCCAGTAAATTACCCCACTATGTTCTACCCAAATTTACAATCACATATATCTCTTACAGCCATAACCATGAAGATAAAAAAGAAACCAGATGAAGCAGACCACTATCTTTTTTTTAAATCCAAAATTAGTGTCTTAAAAAACTGTATTAAAAAAAAAAAAAAAACTTCAGGAAAGACCTGGTTTTACTTATCTCTGTATTCCCAAAACCAAAAACGTATTAGGTGATCAATAAAAGACTGGAAACAGAATGACGATAATTAAGAAATATTTTTTGAAAGGTAGGCATTTATATAATTAATTTTGAAAACAGTAACTACCTTATGAGTAATGGTATTATGAACACAGATCATGCTACCATAATAATACATACTTTGTTTTTTTCCTAATTTCTTCCACCAATTGTTTTATGTGGTCCTCCATAAATTCTATCTTTTCATTTTTCCGAGCATGTGCTTTTTGCAGCCTTACTATCCTCTCAATCAACATGGCCTTGTCTACTTCTGGAAAGTTATCCACAGTTACTGAAGATCCAGTAATTTCTGGAGATCGATCTTCTACACTGCTTCGAGCATTAAGAGACCCTGAAGACAAAAAAAAAAAAAGTCAGTCTAGATATTGTACTTCATCTAAAGTCATTTCTCATCTCATGTTGGTGGTGGTAGTGTTAGGTGCTGTCAAGTCGGTTCCGACTCATAGTGACCGTATGAACAACAGAAAGAAACACTGCCCAGTCCTGCGCCATCCTCACAATCGTTGTTATGCTTGAGCCCATTGTTGCAGCCACTGTGTCAATCCATCTC